CCTGAAACAAACCTCTACAAATGTATCTGTGGCCTAATAAAATGAATATAAACTATAGCCGGGAGTGAGTATCCTGTGTTATTTATAAACTCTTGTTTATTATATAGCCATTGAGAATGCCTGAGAAAATTTTTCTTGTAGTTAATATTGTAATCATTATATTTTGTAATTGATTATATAGTACAGTGCAAACACAAAGCATTATTCTGATGGCACAGTCTTCTTGGACATCAAGAAGGAGGACACCTCTTGGTCAGCAGCTACTTCAAGAATATTATTTTTAAATTTGGATAAGAAATCATACATATGTCATCATCAGTAGTGTCATAATAAGGCTTTGATTTGCTTTTGTGATGTTTCCACATATATTCATCGTCATGTAAAGTCATTGTCTTGTTTCAGACTGGATGTGGAGCTTAAGTCACTGGTACCTGATCATTGTGTGAACTGAACATACATGGAGGCTGTTTTCATTGAGTGCCAAGGCCCTGTTTTAATAATTATCTCAGACACCAGACACTCACTTCATTTTGCATTGCTTCATTCCACATACACATGCTTTCACACAACTTCCCTTGTCTTTGCAGTTTGAGTTATATTCATAAATCAATTACTTCTGTACTTGTCATAGTAACATTTAGTAACTAATATTTATATACGTTTTGAGTGGCATTTGAAAATAAGCAGTCAAAATAAACACTTACTAAATGTTTTTTTTTTCAAATTTTAAACATGATTCTTATGTATCATGTATGTTGCACTTTCTTCTGCACTGGAAGCTCCTGTTGCCAAGTCAAATTCCTTGTGTGTGTAAACATGGTAATAAAGCTCTTTCTGACTTCTTACTGACTTCTGAACACAACACTATGGATTATAATATTTTGGATGTTTTCACACACCATTTTTAAACATATGACATGAAAGAGGTTGTTTTTCAGTGCAACATATGGACAAAAAACAGACACAATGTATGATTATATATGAAATTATTATAATATTTATTATTAGTAGTTCTTTCTCAGATGCTCTAAATTGTTAAGCAATGCTCTGTATTTGACTGTTCCCTAAATACAATTAAGGAAAACATGACATGCTTTTGTAGGTCCATTTTAAAGGGACAGTTCTTTCAAAAATAAAAATGAACTCTCTCATGTTATTTCAAGGTTGTATGACTCTTTCTTCTGTAGAAGACTTTGAAAAATGTGCCAATGTTCACATTGGTTTCAAACAGGTGAGTAAATGATGACAGAGTTTTCATTTTTGGGTGGACATATACCTTTAATATATTATAATCTATTAGTACTTGGAGATTGGTGATTCCCAAACAGGTGTATGTGGAAAGATAAAAAAAAAAAAGTTTTAACTTAAAATAAAATAAAATAATAATAGAAGAAAATATGTGACAGAAGTAAATGTGCATTTACTTTTGTGACTTTAATTATAATTTACATGATACATGATATCCATATAATATGAAAAAAATGAATATTTGTAGATTGGTGTTGATAAAGATACTGATAGGGCTGTGGAGGCTGGGAAATACTGGCCATTAAAAATAAAAAAGAAGATGAAGATGAAAGAAAGAATGACACAGGATACTCACTCCTGGCTATAGTTTATATTCATTTTATTAGGCCACAGATACATTTGTAGGTTTGTTTCAGGCATTGTTGCATACACACTGCAGTACTAGTCACCAATGACAACTAGGTAGGCTAATCTATTCAAATAAATAAAATTAAAGCCCCACAATTGAAATATATAAAAGCTTAAACACACACACAAAAAAGCTTTCTGATAGGCTAGCCCAGGTTAGCACAAGTTATTCGATTATCGTTTGTTTTGCTGTAATCAGGCAAAACAGCTTAGACGATTTATCATATTATTACACAAATGCTGTTTTGACACTGTTGCAGTTCATGTTTTAATGCTAAACATTGATAGGCCTACTTCATTACCTTTTCGAAATAATCTATTAAACACGTAGCGATTTGAGGAGCGTGCACTAATATTTTCAGTTCCATTCGTTTGCGCGTTGTCTCAAAGACACGCCCACACTAGGAGAACTAATGAATAATCACGTAAACTCCACCCACTGGAACAGTTTTTCACAGGAACTGAATATTACACAACGTTCAAATGTTAACGATTTTTAATGGTTCCGGAAGAATCATTGTGCTCACCAAGGCTGTGTTTATTTGCATTTATTTATTACTGTATAAAACAGTAAAATAGTAATATTGTGAAATATTATTGTAGTTTAAAATAACTGTTTACCGTTTCACTATACAATTAATTCCTGTGATGGCAAAGCTGAATTTTCTGCAGCCATTACTCAAGTCTTCAGTCTCACAAGTAGTGGTGGAAAGAGTACTAAGAAATTGCACTTAAGTAAAAGTATTGCTGCTACTTAAGGAATAATTTACTTGAGTACAAGTAAAAGTACTGAAAAATAATATGACTCAAGGAAGAGTAAAAAATTTGTTTTCTGAAAAACTACTCAAGTTACTGCGTTACAAATTACTTTAGTATTATTTTTCTATTTTTAGAGCAGGAGCTCATTACATTATGGAGCAGGGTTAACCCTAACCCTATCACTCATGTACTTTAATGTCTGTCTCACAAGTGAGACCCGGGAAATCCCTTATGGACAAATGCATCAGATATCACTACAGCTGAATTACATGCAGATAGAGATGCTTTGACTGATGAAACGTGGAAGACAATAAACACACAATTGCAATGCAATGCTAATTGACATAGCTTGTATCACAGTATATTATATATATATATATATATATATATACTATATATTATAGCATATTTTATAAATAAAATAAAATGTCTTTCTCGTTCTGTGATGAGAAGCAACATGGAACCACAGAAGCTAACTGTTTCAAACACGACTGATGTTATATAGTGATCTTGGAGCAAAACATGATATTAGTCTCATAAGCAGATAGAGATGCTTTGAACGTGGAAACGTGGAAGACAATAAACACACAATTGCAATGCAATGCTAATTGACATAGCTTGTATCACAGTATATTATATATATATATATATATATATACTATATATTATAGCATATTTTATAAATAAAATAAAATGTCTTTCTCGTTCTGTGATGAGAAGCAACATGGAACCACAGAAGCTAACTGTTTCAAACACGACTGATGTTATATAGTGATCTTGGAGCAAAACATGATATTAGTCTCATAAATTGTCATGTTTGACATTATGTTAAGCAAACATGCTACCTATCCCTGTTGCCAGTAGCAACTGTTTTATAACTAATTTTGAAAAGTACATTCACATAAGGTTATGTGGTTGTTTTTAAGAAGGGCAAAAGCAAAGAAGGGTAAGTGAGAGTTTAAAAGAAAAGAAAGGGTTTAAAACAGTGTGAATAGAAATGTGCCAGTAAAAAAATGATGTGGGGTGTGGGTAAGGTTGGGCATTGTTTGAATTTTAATGATTCCGATTCTTGTCAATTCCTAATTTCGATTCCTATAAGGTAAAAAAATAATAATTAATAAAAAATCTTAGATATCATCATATTGCAAAATATTTCCTTGTTAGCTGAATACTACGGATGAAAATCAACCGGCTAAAGAACACTTACACAAGGATGTGTGTGCAGCAGAGAAAACAGCCTGAGAGTCTTCTTGACTTGAATGGTTTAAAATCACATAGAAAGTGTAGTTTGTTATAATAACAAAGGTGGACTCCAGGCACATTTTTGGTAGGACAAATAAAAAGAGCATTTTATTTAACATGTTAATCCATACCTAGGCTTGGGAATCCAAAATCTATTCCAATTCTGGAATAGGATGCTTAAGGTCAGGAATCATATACTTGTTATAAAATTACAATTTGGATTCCTCTTATCGATTCCTTTGTGCGCATTTTAATATGACTTTAAACCATTCAAGCACAAGAAGACTTGTGCACTGTTTTCTGTCCTGCACATATAGGGACATAGCCATCATTTCAGAAATGATGGGGACAGAAATGTAAAAAATAAAAAACTTTTGTCTATTTGACAGGGTTTATTTTTTCTTATGTCTTTTAATTGACTAAGAAATCAAATACACTTCTGGAGGATAACCAATAATTTGTATTCTATAATATTTTTTTCTAAATTTTCCTAATGACAATTTTAGGATTAGGATTTTAGAATTGTAGGACTTCGGACGCTACTGCGCAGACTCTGGTCCCAAATCAGCACAATATGGCCACACCCTGTTGGGACAATGGCGGCTTCACTTTTCTTCAGTGGAAGAGATTGAAGTCCATTGCGTCGTCCATCGTTTTTTTTACAGTCTATGTTCGAAATGCCATACTATCATACTACTCTTACTATTTCTGCAGTATCCAGTATGTATGTTGTGCATAGTATGCACATTTTCTGTATGCATGTAATACCCGGATGACCTACTATATTCGCCAGAATCTGCTAAATATAACTAAAGTACACCGAAATCAGTACAGAAGCTGTTTGGAATGGCATACTACCATACTATATTGCAGTATGCTGTGTGTATACTGTGAATAGTATGTGAATTTTCTGTATGCATGGAATGCCCGGATTACCTGCTACATTGGCTGAAATTTGATGTATGCATCTGAAGACGCTGCATGGGATACTGTTTCCCAGAACGCAATGCGCTCCATGTGACGTTTCATCTTCAAACACGTGAGTGAACTGGAGGTGGGGAATAGTAATTATAAATGTAACACTTTATACAGTACAGATTCTTTCAAAGATATTAAATAATAATAATATTGCAGCAATATAATATATAAATAAAATGTATAAATAAAAATATTTCAATTATGCAAACAGAATTCAATTCCACTGTCAAGCAGCCCTAGTGTATTAGTGTAGTGTATTAGTGTATCTAGTGTAGAGTATTACTCTAAGGACAAATAGACCAATTTGTTGGCAGAGGCTATTTACATTAACTCCGCCCACCAGTGCCTGGCTGTGATTAACAGCACTGCAAAAGACACTTGCCTTTCCGAAGTATAAGTGGTGCAGCAAGTAAAACATGAGCTGTTTCGATCCTGGCTTTTGTCAAACCCATGCTTCTCCTTTTCCCATCACATACCAGATCAGAAAGAAATTTATTTTCAATAAAAATTAAGTAAATATTTGAAAAGTGGAAATAAAAAATATATAGCTTTTTAATATATCGCCACTTAGTTACCAAAAATATCAATAAAGACAGCTCAGTGTTGATTTAGTTCTGTCCAATATGTAAAATTAATCAATTATGAAATGAGTTCAATTGGGCAATATAGCATTGTTTACTAGTATGAAGCCTTATTAACAAGCCTTTGTAAAAAGAACCATTAGCTCATTTGTTTCTAAGGTAACAACCTTGACAGCTGTGCTGAATTAATGTTCAGTGTTTGTCATGTGACAGCACTTAAGCATACTACTCTGAAACATTTATTGCTTATTGTATACTGTTTCACACACTATTCTTTAAAAAAAATAGTAGGCAGTATGCACTGTGTACTGGGCAGTAAGCAAGTATGCCATTTCGAACACAGCCTATGATTCCAATCCATTAGGGATTTCCCATAGACTGGGATTTCCTTCTTCTTTAGGTTTTAAAGGCAGCTTGCATCCTAGAAGTTGCATTACTGCCGTCTTCTGGAATTATATTACTACTTCACCGATTAAAACATCAAATCCCCCTCATCAGTCTTGTATTTTTAAGGAAGCAGAACAGATATTTCCTTCCTTGACTTTTTCCTCCACATTTTAATATGTCTTTTAGTCCACGACAAGATCCTTCAGAAATCATTCTAATATGCAGATTTGGTGCTCAAGAAACATTTCCTATTATTAGTGCTAAAATACAGTTTTTGCTGCTTAATATTTTACTTAATACCTAAACTTTTATACAGCAGTGTAAGTAAGATTATACAGTATATGTATGTATATTAATTTCATTTCATTTATTTATATAGCACAAATAAACACAACAGGAGTTGACCACAGTGCTTTACAGAATATAAAACTAAGATACAGATAAAGAAAGAAAGCAATAAGACATAAAAATAAATAGAACATAATTAAGAATTGCTAAAAAGCTCGGGCCAGAAGATAAGACTTTAACTTCGATTTAAACTCATGCACGTGTGTGTGTGTGTGTGTGTGTGTGTGTGTGTGTGTGTGTGTAATATTGTGCAAGGACGCATTTGATCAAATTGATGTTGATCAAAAGTGATGTAAAGGCTTTAATAATGTTAAATGTTCTTTTGAAAATGTATCATGGTTTCCACAGAAATATTATGCAGCAAAAAATTTCAACATTGATAAGAACCATTATTAATAAGTGATAATAATTGAGCAGCAAATCAGCATATTAGAATGATTTTTGAAGGATTACTGGAGTAATTAAGACCGAAGTAATTCAGCTTTGCCATCTTAAGAATGAATGACATTTTAAAATATATCCAATTATTTTAAATTGAAATAATAATGAGTCACTTATGTTAAAAAAAATCTTGATTATTTCAAACTAGCTAGTTTGCCTAATGAAAGAAATTCTGTCTTTTCTTTTAATCAGGCAAACCAGCCTATGAAATGCTTGAGTGTCATCCCGACTGGGCACCGTCATTACATCTCGGGCACACAGAAGTCAAAGCGGCGCATCCTGAGCGGTTTAGCCGTAGGACAAAGAGACAGCAAGGTCTCAAACAGAACACTGCTGCACCTGTAACATCACCAGCTCTACCTGACCTGAAATTAGAGATAGATGAAGATGTACCACTGGTTAAAGATGAACCACCGGATGAAGATGTACCACTGGTTAAAGATGAACCACCGGATGAAGATGGACCACCAGATGAAGATGGACCCCCGGATGAAGTTTCACAGAGGTTACAGATGGATGAGCCTGCACCAAAGTACGACCTTGTAGAACAGCAGGAATGTAGTTTTTGTAACTGCAGACGTGCTGAAATTAACCGCTTATTAGAGGAGAACAGGTTATTGAAGGAAGAGCTCTCTCAAAAGACAATGTCTGAGAATTTTTTGGGAGATGATGACAAGAAGGTCAAGTACTACACTGGACTGCCATGTTTTGCTTTTCTGATGGGTGTGCTGGCGCAGCTTCTTCCCTGCCTACCACAGACAAGACGCAAACTTTCGCCTTTTCAGATGCTCTTCTTAACTCTGATGCGCCTGAGGCTGAATCTGCCAATCCAGCACATTGCACACCTCTTCTGCATAGATCAAAAGACTGTGTCCACCGTGTTCAGAGTCACCTTAGGTGCCATGTTTACACACCTCAGCCCTTTGGTGCACTGGCCAGAGAGACATTGCCTGAAGGGCAGCATGTTGCAACAGTTTGTAGAAGCTTTTGGCAATCATGTTGCGGTTATTGTGGACTGCTTTGAAATTAACGCTGAGAGAGCATCAAATCAGAAAGCTATAGCACAGACATCTTCACAAAAGCACACGCTAAAGTATCTCATTGGTATTACTCCACGTGGAGCTATTGCTTTCGTTTCTAAAGGGTGGGGAGGGGGTGTCAGTGTCAAGGATGTGATTGAGTGTAGTGGCCTTCTTGATAAACTATTGCCTGGAGACTTGGTGTTGGTGGATCGCGGATTTGACACCGGGGACAATGTTGGACTAATGTGTGCAGAAGTGAAAAAGCAAAAACTGGTTCCAAAGGATGAGGAGGAGACACGGAAGATAGCTCACCTCAGGGTCCATTTGAAGAGGGTGATCGGATGTGTGCGCACAAAGTACACCATGCTAAGTGAGGCCGTACCAGTGAGCATGAGAGCCCCATGTGAAGATGAGGACATGACATTCCTTGACAAAGTTGTGACTGTGTGCTGTGCCCTAACTAATATGTGCCCCAGTGTTATGAAACTGTAAACCATGACATAAACTACATACAACATGACATACAACAAAATAAAGGAGAACTGCATATCCTTCATTATCGTGTGGCATACCACGTTACTTTAATAAATGATGAAAAATTACTATAATTTATTTCTATTTGTGTAATGCTGAAGTAAATGTGTACAGTTCACAGTAAAAGGCAATCGAAAGGCAATAAATAAATGCCTCTTTGCAACAGTACTTCACAGTCTGCATAAAGCCTTATTTGAGCATAACTAATTAATTGCAGTAGAGAGATGTTATGATCTTAATACAGATGCTGATTTTGCAAGAAATGTATGTGACCCTGCAATAGTTCTTAGGAATAAAAACTGAACAATGGATAGCCTATAGTCTCAGTGGGAGTGTGGTAAGTTGTTACTTAATGGCATGATTATCATATCTAAATGAGACAAAAATATGTTTAACAATATGATGTATAGGTTTTGAAACAGGAACAAATAGTTTTGTTATTGAGGCTTTTTAAAATTAATCACAGATCTGTTTAAGAGCTTTAAACTGCTATGTATTGTTCATCTATGTCTACTTGCTGCAACACTTGAGTCAAAATCGACAATAATACCTTCTAGCCTTGAGGAGAAGTCAAGACGTGATCAACAGTCCCTCATCTTGGCTCTTTGATGAACTTTTCAAAGTGTACTTTTTTTTTTTTTTTTAAGATTTATTTTTGCCATTTTTATTTTGATAGGACAGTATAGCAGTGACAGGAAGCGAAGTGGGAGAGAGAGAGAGAGGGGGGCGGGATCGGGAAAGGTCCATGAGCTGGGACTTGAACTCGGGACGCCCGAAGCGCAGATGTCTGCGAACTGCCCACTAGGCTAATATTTTTAAAATATTTTGTGAAAACAAAAGAGTAAAAGACGTGAGAGCAAAACTATTGAATAATACCTTTACCCTGACATTAACTTTTGACTAAAGCTTAAATTAATGGTACATTATCCTCTCAATTATTAAGAACATCACAAGGTTTCTTGCGTGGAGATATCAAATAACAGAAAGAAACACAACTCTACAATGAAAAAAAAAACTTTATACTAATTTACTTGTTCCTAAATATGAGTGGTGTAGATTTGGCTTTCTAGATTTGTTTTTTTATCTTAATGTTTAAATAGTTACCATTTATTATAATTTTACAATGGTAAACATTTCATTAAAACATAAAAAAGACAATATATTAATATAATATATAATATAATAATGCACTTTTGTTTTTAAAAGTATGAGCTATTGCACCTCCAACCACTAGAGGGCCTTCTTCTGCTACCAGACTACAGCAAACCCTCATAGCTTCCTGCTTTCTTGCCCTGAATGTGAAAGTCCACTTCTTCATATGTGCAGGTAGGAAAGCTTGACGGGTAACTTTAAAAGTGCTGTGGCTTGTGCAGAGAATTATATCGTCTTTCTCGTGTGGGATTTCCCATATTCTGCAAAGGAAATGTTGCATGGATTTGTGTGTGTGTGTGTGTGTGTGTGTGTGTGTGTGTGTGTGTGTGTGTGTGTGTGTGTGT